TTCTATGGGGAAAAACATCTCCGCGTTCGCTTTTTGTTTATCTTGACAGTTTGAAAAAATACAAATAAACTCCCGTTACAATTTCTAATTAACTTTGCTTAAAAACAGAAAAAAACGTCTTTGCATTCGTAAATGGCGGATGAATATTTTATAAGTGTTCTTTTCATATCCAGGGTTATTAAAGAAAAAAAAAATATTTTTCTTTACTCGGGACGTTAGGCTAGTGGGTTCCCTAAAATATTCTGTAGAAAAAAAAACTTTTCTAAAAAATCACCGTAAAACATTCATCAGTATATTTTAGGGTGAAGTACTTTAATGTGAGTATTTTCTCGTTTGAGGACAATAATGTAAAAAACAGCTATGTAGTCGATAGGCGGAAAAAATTTTACCTAAATAAACGCCATTTTATATCGAATGTTCCGGATGTGATCTGACCCCCTAAATTTTTCCCCCATATGCATTGTTTAAAAAGCAAGGTCATCATGGTTGTTTTTTTTTATAATAATAAACAATTTCTTGTTATGACAAAACCTTGCTAGGGGGAAATTTTGTCCGGAATAAAAATACATCTGCCATATTTATCATGCATGAATAAGCATGTTGAAATAACCTTATTGAATAGTTCAAATTTTACATAAAAAAGATACGATTTTTGCTCTTGCTTTTCCAATAAATTAGCAATTCTGTTCAATGATTTTGTATAACGCCATCAGTTTTATGGAAAGGGCCCACCCTGACATCCGCGGAATCTGCCCATTTTTTTTTATATCTTTGACTGCTTTTAGAATGTAATCTTATATCCCCAACCTAAGTATTAAAATTCCCAAAAATGTAACTGGCCTGTCCAAAGGGTTAAAATTTTTAAAAAATTTTATTATAGCAAGCACAGAAAAAACCCCTATAGAAATATAACTCGTGAAGAAAAACAGCCACCACGTGCATTTCCGTGCATATTTTTTCTCGTTAAAATTTTTTTTTCCCTTTATCAAAATACCAAACTGTATTAAATATTTACGTACAAGTCATTGGGGAAAAGGGGTTTTTATCTCTTCTCAGACATATTACGAGTTTTATTTCTGTATAAATAATCGCGATTAAAAAAGGTAAAAAAGATAAAGTGTGATGCCCCCCCATAGATGAAAATTTGACAAGTAAAAAAAGCGACGATCCTTTTTGGGCATTCCCCGAAAAATAAATTCCTACTTTTACACTCCAAGAGGGAGATTTTTTCAAGCTAATCATATTAAAACTATTTCAAGTCTATTTTGACGCTGTCCGGTTTGATTCTTCAAAACTATTATCCGCATTTAGGGGGGATAAATCTAAAAAGGGGTGTGCAAAAAATCCATAAAAAAGAAAAATTCGTTTTAGCATTTCATCCGACCCCAAATTAAAAATAAAAAATAACAACATTTTTAAATATTGTGTGAGTGTATTTTTGTGAAAAAAATCCGCTTTTTTAGATCATTTAAACGCAGTTTTATAGATATTTTATCAAATTTTCGCATGTGAAATATAACCTATAAAGAAAGCAAAAAAGTTTTCAAATATTAAAACATGATTTTAAAGAAACAGGACCCTTGACAGATAGGGTTTAAAATTCTTTAAAAAATCGGTTGTTCTGTCGTATACGTCCCAAAATGATAGATTTTTTTAAAAATAATTCCTTTATATAATAAATGCCATAAAATATTTTAAGTGCGACCGTCGGGTTTCGATAAGTCAGTTTGTTTTTAAATTGAAAAATTTTAATTTCGATTTGTGTTTGCCTTATTTGATATATACAGGCATTGGCTTTTAATTTTTAACAGCAGTGAAATATTGAAATTTACAGGGAATTAAATCGTCAGTTTTAAACAATGGTAAACTTGTACATGGTATCGAAATTGATATTGCGTTTTTAATTGCGATTCCACACGGCCTACTAAAGAAATTCAAGATTAGCCACACAAAAAGAGAGAGGAAAATTTGTTTAAAATGAGCTGAATTTGATTTGTTGTAATAATGACCTTTCATCTTTAAATGGAACTACTTTCAGTGGTTTACCGGATGCGGTGATGCGGTTGGCCCCTGTATAACCGGAAAATCCGGTTCTCTTGTCCGTGAGTTCAAAAGGGGCAGATGGCCCATCAACGCTTTACAGTTTTAACTATAGTTCAGTTACCTATCCCGTGACATGCCAGAATTGTAGAAATGATCTTGACCCTAAATAGAAATGACCTTGTACCTTGTAGAAATGACCTTGACCTTTAGTCATTAGATTCAGTAGTTTCCAAGACTTTTCCGGCACTTTGAAAGGTGATATTCAGTCAAAACAAAACTATTTTGTCTTTTATTTTCAGAGTAGTTTTTGGAACTTTGAAAAAACTTAACTTTAAGGATACGGCCCCCCTTCTTTAGCATGTATGCGAGCCGCTATATTGGTAATTCCCTAAATAATGACGTCTCAGTGGGAAAAACCCTTTCTCACATGATGAAAATGTACTAAAATTAGGTATTACTTATACTTTAGTAAGTTGTCGAAAGAAGGCGAGAGAGGTTTTATAACTGGATTATTAAAGGGTCCGTTGGGTTATCCTTAATTTTGAAAAAAAAATCTGAATATTTGTCTACTTTGTTATCTTTACTTTACTACTAGGAAAAAGTGTCGGAAAAACGGTCTGTATATGAACTTTTGTTTTCAGCTATAGACAGATCATCGGTTTTTTAAAATAGATTGAGTGAATTTGCAGTTTAGATATTAACCCCTTTATACTTTCAGTTTGATTAGTAAATTGTAACACGGGTTTTGTTTTCTCAAAAGCTTCATCTGATTTTAATCCAAAGGCCCATAAACCCCGAAAAATTTGCAATACCTACTTATTATATATTTTTCGAGTCCTTAATGGCAGTATCTTATAGCTGAACTTTTTTGTTTCTACTTGCTCTTTCTTTGGCATTTAGATTGATTTAGTATAGCATGTATTTAGATCTAAGTGTTAAAGAATTTTGAATGAAGAACTTAATATCACTTTGTTTTTGTTTTGTTAATTACTGAAAATACATGTACAAATTATTTCAAATTCAACACTTACATTCTTATATGATAAGCAGTTAAAATCTCATAGTCAAATTTTCAAAGTTTTTAAAAAATCGGTAAAAAATACATGAAATAGACGTTAAAATTTTATTTTAAGTTTTTTTTAAAACTCTCATTATGCTTCAAAAATTTTCTTTGGTTTTTTTTTTCAGACTAAAATACAAGAAAATTTCTTTATTAAAAAAAATTTTGAAAAATTTTTTTGTTCTTTGTCAAAGATTTTTTTAATTTATTTTATTAAAAAATCGAAAAACAATATTCTTTTGAAAATAGTTCATTAATGAACATAATTAAAAAAGGGCTTTTCTTTTCCGTATAAAAAAATCACTTTAAAAATTTTTAGAATTTTTAATTAAAGTAAAAATTTAGTTTTCAAAAAATAAGATTTGAAAGTATTTTCGAATCTTTTTTTCCCAATTTCCAGGCAAAAATTTTTTTACCTTAAAGAGACTTTTTATACGTATATTTATTTAATTGAATTCCCGTCTTTTGGTTTTTTCCAAAAATTTTGGGAAAAACGGATAGACCGTTTAGAGTCTTCAATGTACTAAATTGAAGTGACCTATTCATCTATGCTACAGGATTATTATCTATTATTATTTTACTAGAAATAACTACATTTTTGATCGAACGAGTAGCTACCTATGGTCATAGTTCATTAGACCTATTTTATCACCCGTTATGTTTTCTGTTTTTTATTTATTTAACCTAGTGTATACAGGCTCGGGCGATTCCTTAGCTTACTGCTTTGACTCCAAGTCCGGAGCTCTCAGGCGGACCTTTGCGGGACATAACGTAGCTATAACTTCCCTTCAGGTAAACTAGTTAGTTTTTGTTTTGTTTTTATTTTAAACCACAATAATCCTGTCCACTTATATCACCCCTACCTTAGGTTTTTAGCATTGTTTCAAAGAAAACGTGTCACAGCACCAAGACTTTTTTTTTTAATTTTAGATGAATCGTTTATTAAAGGTATATGTATATATTTCTTATAAGTATAATATTTATGCTCTGTAAAGTTTAATATCGAAGAAAACAGGCGTGGATCGGACTCACCTGTGTAGATCTTTTGAAAATAGGATGGTAGTTTTTTTAAATTACACTTGTAATTTCGTATGTTCAATATTTTGTCTCTTTGAAACATGCAAAAAAGTTATTTGAAGGTCGCCAATCTGTTGTTTTTTTTCTGTTTTGCAGGCAATTAACAGACCAGTAACAATTACAGCATTTTTTATACATGTATTATTATAAAATCTATAAATAGCTTTGAAATGCATTTCTCTGATTGGCTGAGGAGTAACTATTTGTAATAAAAAAGGCATGTTTTGGCAACATGGAATGTAGTGGTCCAGGGCATGTTCGCCCCCATTACCAGGGTACGATATAAGGCCCTTTCCCAATCCAAATAACCGCTTTTCCCCAAATTAAAAAAACTGCCCAAAAAATCTGTTTAAAGTAATGAGGAAAATTGAACTACATGTATTTTAATTTTTTAAGATTTTACAGATTCTGTGGTCATAAACACTTTTTTTAGTATTTTTGCAATATGATTTTTCTGGAATTGCGGATTTAGCAAATGACATGAACAAGTATTATTGACCGAGACCTAAATCAAATGGTACAAAAAATATTAAAAAAATAGTCCCACTAAGTAAAATAACGTCATATGGACTTTTATTTTTAGATTTTAAGTATTTTAAAGAAGGGTAGCAAATAAATAGATGTGACGCATTTTGAAAAAAAACTGTCCAAGAAACAACAACAAAAAAAAGTGATAATTTTTTCCTAAAAATTCTAATTTTTATGTCCTCAAAATAACCGTATCGTTAATCACTCTGTTTTATATAACGTACACTTATATTATAAAAATAATATAAATATATAATATTAATATATTATAAATGTTAATTTCACAGATTGTTTGAAGGCCGTCTGTTCACCGGTTCGTATGATGGCGCGTAAAGTTTGGGACATTACTGGAATCAACGATGACACTGCTTTTGGTATTTATTTGATATTTCTTTTAAAAGATAAATATCTTTTCATTGTTAAGCAATTACAAAATGGCTACAAATGAACGTATTAAACCCAAAGAGTAATCTTGCAAAAGATTTTTCAAAACCATAACAAAATTTAGGTTTTACTTTTTAGGGTAATTTAAAAACCGGGGTGAAATCTGGGGAAAAAAGGGGATGATTTAGGTTGTTAAATTTTGCGGGCTATCGTTGGAAAATAGATAGTGGTTCGTCGCTCTTGTAAGTTGTACAGGCAGTACCTTTAAAAAGTGTAAAAAAAGCGAATAGTGTGTAAACAAAAGTTCAAAAATAAATAATTTTTTATGTCAGCGCTTAAACTTGGTAATTACAGACATTGATTGAAATCTCATAAGAAATACTATTTTAGTCATAATCAAAAGTTTTTAATATTAAATAACAAATTTCAAAAAAATACATTATCTTTTAAAAAGTTTTTTTTAAACCGTGTTTTGAAAAGGGAAACTGTTTTAACCAATGTGTGTTGTTAGATACTGTAGTTTTTATTTATTTCGGGATAATTTTATTTTTTACACATACATGTATATTAACCATGGTGTTTAAAAACCGCTAATATGCCACATGCGGAAAATTTTAAACAGCAAAAAAATATGGAACATTGCGCCAAACTTTTATCAAAATTTATGGATGGTTTACCCCTTTAAATTAATCGTACACAATAACTGTTTTCCCATGGCAGCAAATTTTTTTTAAAAAAAAAATATGCATGAGGCATGTGTCACTTTGTCAACTTTATCATTTTTGTTTAGAAACAGTTTCTAAAAAATTTTTTTTAACATTTGAATAATTTTTTTAAAGGATAATAATGAACAATTGGATGTTTTGGGACTAATGACCGTTTATTGGGATTTCTGTTAAGTTTTTTCTGTTGTTATTCTTTTTCCCATTTAAAAATTTTGGAGTTTAAAATATTTTTTCCCAAATTTCCTCCCCAGGTTTCTTACCCAAAAAATTAGTCAAATTTTGGGTTCTTAATTTTTCCCCCAAAATCCAGTTAAGTTTGACCAAAAAAACAGCAAAAAGATTGTTTTTTTTTTGCCCAAAAAAGAATTCCCAAAACAAGTAAATGAATAAAATTTTTTCAAAATTTAAAGAGGTTTTACTTGTAAAAAATAAATTTTTTTTGTGCAAAATTATTTTTTTACAACCCCCTAATATTTGCTTTTTGGTTTTACCCGGGGTAAAATTAATTAGTTTCTTATTTTTCTTTTTTTTGAATGTAACAAGGCAAAATTATTGGTCTTTTAAAACTTTTAAAGTTTATTCAAAAGCTGAAAGATTATGTTTCCGTTCAGTTAATGAACCTCATACGGGGGTGCGTGGATTGGAAATTTTATCATGGAAAGCCCTTTAAAGAAAAATTAAAATAAATCCGAAAAAAAAAAAATTTTATTAATTTTAGACCATTAAAAAGAAAATAAATGTTAAATATACACGGGGTTTGACGAGCAGTTTTCCCCAAAAAATTTAGGTTATTAAATTTAAATGCTTGAAATTAAAAGGAAAATTTTTAAAAAATGGTCATTGTGCTTATGACCATTTTCAACATTCACAATTATCCGTCATGTTACATCTTCTCTAGTAAATTATGCCTTTTTCCAATCACTTTTACTCAAAATTTCATAAATTTTCAGCTTCAAACATTCGCACTATTTTCTGTATAGTTACACACCAGGGCAAATTACTGCGGTCCTATGCCAGCGTCCGCTTAGTAGCTTCTTAGCAGCACCAGCAGTTTCTGCGTTATCCTTGTCGATTGAACGTTTCGTTTATAACATCGTCCGCTCTCCCATCTCTTGTCATTAAATATCCATACATATTTTATCAATTGAAACCTCTTGTCATTAAATATCCACATATTTTATAAATTTACATGATTTGAGCTTATCATGATAAGTTTGTGTTATTTTATAATAAGATTTTTGTACATGACAATAAAGCATCTGACGTGATTGTTGAAAAGAGAGGTGACCGCAAACATCAGGAAAAATATATGCATTTATTAATGCAAGAAATGCAGAGAAATATGCGTTCCTGAAACGAGCGTTTGTACTTTTTTTTTCTTTTCATTTTTTTCAAAACATTGAATTCCATTGTTAAATTGCTGGTGGTGGTTTGGACTTTGTTGTTTATATTGTTTTAATATTGAAATTCCGCTTTTCAATTTGACATTTTTTTACGTAATGCAAAAAAAAATTGCTTTGTGGTGCATGGGCAAAAACTTTCTTATACATTTTTACAATAAGATTTGACCTTTTTTGTGAAACTCTTTTTATCAATTCAGTGCATGAAATTGTTTGCAGTTGTGACTGGTTAAACGTTTTAATAGCTTTTTGATGTGTTGTAAGTAAACCAATCAAGTTTCTTTCGAAGACTTTGAGAACTTTTGTATGCAATTCAATTCAAGTTATTTACAGAACAGAACAATATTTTATTTTGACTTGTACATAGTACGTACATACATATGTAATACATTGGTCAAAATTCATAATTTAAACAATACATTTTCATACTAATTTTCAATGAATTATAACAAACTTACTATACAACGAGTTTGTTTTAATTTACAACAATAAAAAGGGGGAAAACAATTATGTACTTAAAATATATGATAAAATTAAGTCACTTTGGCGCAAGGCATGGATAAAAAATAAGTTGAGCACTGTCACACCGTATAGGAATACTTCGAACAACTAGTGCACAAATGTTCCTTCACTTCTCATGAACTACAAAGTCCCTCTTGCCTTTTAAATTTCGCAAATTAGGATTTACTCATAGCCTGCTTGCGGCAACTGAACATACCATTGCGAAAAGTGCAGACCAAGAACCATGCCGTCTGTTTATGGCCTTGCACTTATTCGCTATTCAGCCAGAAATTGTCTTTAACAATGTTGAATGATAACAGGTTACCATATTGAATGATGGACAAATCCGTTTGACATAATTATGTGCTGTCTATGTTAATACAATATCAAGGAATATTCAATACTTGATATATCATCTGAGATAGATTGCAATCTATACCCGTGTCTGGACCATATTTTAGATATTTGAATTGTCATTCTCAAAAAGTAATTACATAAAAACAATCCAATACTATTTACATAAAGAATTCAATAATTTCAACGCAAAATAGGATCCAAATAAAATTTGTTTGAAATAAGCTTTATGCTATGCATTTGATTGATATACAGGCTTATTGCTATTAATTATGCCACGTGGTTTGTTGCCACCACAAATGCTACACTATTGCGTATAGTGAATAGTTACCTACCTGCCAAGCCGGGTATATCCAAAATAAGCATTGCTGCGGTCAACAAAAAGCTAGCTTGATTATTCAACTATCATATTGTTTATTCTAAACTATAAAATTATACCAATTATTGAAATATTTGAACATTTTGTCTTCGTATTGTTAAAGATAGGCCTGCAGCTTTTGAAGGTGAACTTATTCTCAACGCCGACAAGGGTAGACGGAGTAAGATACGATTGGTTTCATTCTCTTTTGCAATATTGTTTGTGCCATAATTTTGTAATTGTGCGTGATGTTATCTCTGTTTTCATTGGCTTCTAGGTGTTCTCGTGAATTCTCGAAACTGTCAAACGAGACATGATTCATCGTCGTGTTGGCGCTTTATTTTCTCTGCAATTTACAAGCGTTTAATTGATTGTGCATAATTTTAACGAGAAAATGCCAGCATTTGGCTTTAATTGAATTATTGATTACATTAAATATGCATATCTCTGAATTCATACATTTTGCATGATTAAAATAAAAATAAAATACCGTCGTTTTTTTTTAATTAAAACAAGGAAATATTTTTGTTTTAATTAGCTAAAAATAAAAAACTTATTAAAACATATTATAAGTAAGCTTTCTTTATACCAGCTTACATTACAACCTATATAAAAAGGCGTGTGGTCTATTTTCATATACAAATTATTTTAAAAGCGTGTGTTCTATTTGCATATACACATTATTAAATGAAGAATTATGATACTTGTACATTGTTGCAAAAACACTAAGACAATTTTATTGAGGAAGTAAAAAGTAAAGATGCACTAACTTTTTTTTTTCATATTGCACCTTGTATAGTTTGTATGTATGAAATTTATACACAAAAAATAAATTTGAATGCTATTCTAAATTATGTGGCGTTTGTATATTTATTGTGTTGTGTTTAAATTGCGATATCCAAATGTTCGTACGTTTCAACGATAACAATTTACCGAAATGATAACATAGACGAAATGTCTGTCTGACAAAAAAGGCAAAGACTATATTGAAGCAAAATTTTAGTTAAAAAAGAGAAGCTAATACATATTAAATAACGATGATCTTAGAATGTGTTAAATCTTATTGTAAAATATATACACATTTGTTTTTGAAATGTGAACAATAAACAAATATGAAATACATTGTATTATAGTATGAAACCGTGATGTCTAAAATGTTATAAAACCGTTGTTTCTGATTTTCAAGATAGCAATTTTGACGACGTAGCCTACTTAAGTACAGACTATTTGCTACAAAAGAAATATCACGCATACAGCAAATTTGATATTTTTATTCTAGGAAAGGACGATGACGAAAAGAAGAAAACTAAAGAAAATACTGAGAAGGATCAAATTACTAAAATGGATCAGAATCAGAACGGAATCAGTAACGGTCAAAGCAATAAGATAATGATAGAATAGACGGGAACCAGCCCAATATTGATACTGGGATCCTGCAATGATGTAACGTGAAATTTCATTGTTTTTTTTAGTAACATGTGATAGAATAGACATTAACCAGTCTGGTATTGATGCCGGGATCCAGTAATGATGAAAATGGAAATTTTATTGGCTGCTTCTTTATTTAGTCACGTGTATTTTTCATTTTTGTTTACAAAGCAAAGATTGGCGTATTTTTTTTTATATGAAAGGCGATGGTTTTGGTTTTTGTATTGACTTGAGATTGAAAGTGAAGTTGTTTTTTGTCATTTAGATTTTTTTCACTTGGTTTTAAGTGTTTTATCCTTGTGATGCAGGTGTGCCAGGAAATGAGAGATTTTCGACTGAAAATGATGATGTATTATCAAATACGATTATACATGTATTTAGTACTTAAATTGTAAACTGCATTTGAAAATTAAATTACATTAATTGTCACTTTGTAAACATATTATTTAAAAGTACATATTTAGTTTGCGTATCAGCTACAAATTGTATTTTTTATATATTTTTGTATTTTAAGTACTGAAAATAGTTGAACATCAGATGTGCACGAATGTTTGTCATTAAGCAATTTTATATTTACCAATGGCCGTTTAATCAATTAACCGGGTTTTTATTGTTGTTTATTGTTGTTTGTTTTTGTTGTTGTTTTTCAATATCGATTTCTTTTCAAGAGCGAAAATTTAATGCAATGCCTCGATCTTTTTTAAAGAAATATATATATGTAGCCAATATGGAAATCAACAAAGCAAATCAAAAGTCAAATGTTATGATTTATATTTAATTTAGAACATATAAAGAATGCAAAATTTGTACTTATTTGATTATAAAAGGGATACCGGAATATTGTTCCCATCCTGTTTGTTTTGGTTTTTTTTTTTATTTCATAGGCTCTGAATTTCTGTGAATTTCTGTAACATTTTTGAACAATTTTGATATAAATGTATTTTTAATGTAATTATTGGTCAACAACAAAAAATTTGTTTGGAGCGAAACAGTACTGGTACGAAAGATAATGAATGTTTGATGAGAGTGAAATTTCTGCAATTTATTGTGTTTGTCTTATTCGAGAAATGTCGCGTCTGCACTTTTTAAAGAGCATCTCTGCACATAAATTTCGATACATTTTTGTGCGTTATAAATGCGGGTTTCATTATAATATTTTTCCATTATATTTCCATACTACATATTAACCACTTCATTTCTTTCATTTTGGTATAGTACGTATTACATGTATATATATTTTTCAGTTTAGTTATTGTCAATTTATTACATATTGTACATGTTATGTAAGAAAGTGAGCACGTGTTTGTATCATGAAAAGTTTATTATTATCATTATCATCAGTCATCGCATTTCTTGGGTCGAAATTGTCAGGTGACGAATCATTATACAACATCGTCATTTTGAAATCATTATAATGGCGCCTAATACATGTTGTTTTACATTACACAGTAGCATATTCACGTGTACAACTGAAATATCTCATTTTGTGGGCCTCAGCATATTTTATATTTACATGTAGTTTATTTAAATATAGTACTTAATATCACAATGTGTGTATCAAATATTACTTGTCATAACAAAATTACTAAAACGTTTTCATTTGGTGAAACGCATCAACATTCTGTGCTCGCAAGAACTGTTACAAATTGAATTAATAAGATTTCAATAAATTATTAAGTTATCGGATGTAATATGACGTGCTTGTGATCGCAATGAATCATACACATTTAGTTTAACCTAGCAATAAATGATACAGTGGTTTACACATTGCGCACTGCGGATGATCACGTGACCAAAGTCGTACAGTGGGCTCATAAAATGGCGTCCTAATGATGGCATTGCTAATTTTGCTCAAAATTAGTTTCTTTTACTGAAAACAACGTATTTTAGTACTGTTCGGCCATTGTACTCATCACCCAAACAACTTTTTGACTTTCAGGCCTAAACAGAGAGAGCTACAAAGTAACCAATAACAGAACAGTACGTGGTTTTTATACAGGGGTTCCGTGCGGCCTTGTTTTACATATAAAATTAACGTTAAATGTATGCTTACCTCAATTTCACTGCTTTTACCGAGCGTTTAGGCCGCCATTTTAAGAGCCCATTGTACGATTTTGGTCACGTGATCATCCGCAGTGATTGCGGTTTCATCATTGCTCTTAAAAGTAAAATCTTTGATTGTCGCCAAATCGTCATAGACAGCAGTTTTTGCGATTTTTTAATCATATGAATAGTACCCTTAGAAGAATTTGCTCTGTACTGCATAAAACCATGACAGTCTTAAAATTAATATCTCCTTTTTTCGATAGAGAAAGGGAAACTTTTATAATCAGTTAGTCTCGTTTGCAAAGGCTTCAATTTTGGACTTAAGATTTATTACATGTATATTTTTTAATCAAAATTTAATACATTCTGTTCACCAATCCATATGGAGAACCGTTTTAAAAGTAATTTGCCAAGACTATAAAGTGTTGGTGCAATACACTAAATACGATATTGTGGTATTTGTACCTTTGTCAGAGTTAAATAGTATGCACAATACGTAACTGTAGTGCAGGTATTAGTTACCCGCACTCCAGATCATGCCCATTGATTGGCTCATTTTTCTGGGGTTTACAACAGAGAAAGGGATAGCGATAGAAATATCATATCCAGATGCTCTTTCATTGGTTACCTTTTTTCTTGGGTTTTATTTTGTGACAAAAGGGAACGGGTTTTTATTTTTGCCTATGATACAAAAGAGAAAGAACATCAATGTGATTTATATTTGGATCGTACAAATCAGTTAGCCTCTTGTTTCGATGCTCTTTCGCTATTACATACCGGACAATGCGCTTGAATGTTTAAATGATATGATAAATTTCGCCTTTTCACCGCTGAGGTTGCAAATCATTGTACAATGCATGTTAAATATGTTGATAAAATGTGACTAACCGCACCTTAATTATATCTATGTTATAATTTGTGTTGAACTTTTTATCATAATTGTGAAAAAATGTCAATTCATGTTAGAACTTATTGTTTTTATGATGTTGTCCAAATTGTTATAACTTTTTATGTGAATGTCTCGGTCAAGACTTGGCCAAACTGTTTGTTTCAGATTTAGTACAAAAATAAATGTGTGCTATTTTAGATTTAAGTAACACATTTAAGTGCCAATAAATTAAGAAAAAAAACAACAACAAAATTTGACAATAAAGTATACATTTTTTTCTCTTGAAATTTGACAAACCTGTCAATATTTAACAGACTATAGTCTTGTTAGGGATAGGAAAGTATATAACCTTTGATGACATGCAAACTTTCAAAGCAAGTATTTCTTTAGATTGTAAAATCTCCAGGACTGTTGCTGGCCTTTAAATATTACAAGCAAAAATAATAGATGATCTTGTCTGTGATCTGCCATTTTGGAATTCCCAGTAATGACGTCACAGTGGAAAACAGCCTCTTCTGGGCACAAATGTTATAAAAATAGGTAAACTGTAGAAAGAAGGCATGGCTAGCTTCCAGTTTACAACGGAAATGTTCAAAATTTGTCAATATTTACTGCTTCGTTAGGGTTCGTAATTCTTACCCTTTGTAATTATAGACAGAATTTTATCTCATTGTCCATGTACTTGGATTGACATGTTGGGAGAATTGGATGGTAATGAAACCCGAAACAAACAGTTTGAGCCATTGAATAATTATGTGAGTTTACTGAATAATTGTACTAGCGGGTTCTAGTATAAAGATGGTGTATAATTTACTCATCATTAATTTTCTTTGTGCTGTAGTCAACATTTCATTCTATATGTGTTAGTGAAATATTTCCTAGCTGGTATCGGAATATTGGATTGAAGATAGATTTATCAGCATACAGGTTAAGCAGCATTTCTCTCTGAACCAATATTCTACGAGAAGCCAATACCAAGGCAGTCATCCTTTATTTGAAACAAGATCAAGTTATTTATTAAATTATTTCTTTGCAAATGCTATTGGTCCCATTTCAGAAATGTTGTCTTCAAATCACCGACAACCAATGGCCTTAAGAATATGATAGTTTGATCATTCAACTAACCAATATTGAAATTGTTGGCCTGATGATTCTGGAACCAATACTTTACCTGAAGAAGGTAGATTGTCTTAATTAAAGCAACGCAGTTTAGCAAAATTGGCTGAGGGGTTGTCCTTAAGGGTTGAGGCTTCGGAATTGCAGCCACTGTTTATCCCGAGTGATCGTATGAGGCAACTAAATTAGTTTGATTAACTGGAGTCTATGCATCTCTTAGATCCAGCAGGTGAGGTTGTTTTATGCACCAATTGATAGCTGATAATTATAAAATGTATCTTTTGGTCTTGAATTAAAAATCAAAGAAGAAACCTTCAAGACCTGTGCTGTGTTTTTTAACAAGTAATTATAGTTTTGTAAATACATGTAGAAACATTGTTGACGAAATTTTAATAAAGTATTCTTATTTAGCCTTATACACCTTCAGTCTATCTAAATTATCTTGAATGCATCAAAATATGTGGAGTTACCCCTAACATTGCTAAATTTAGAGAGAAAAAACTTGTCCAGTTTCCATTTTTGGAGCTTTAGGGATGACAAAAAAAAAAGAAATTTGTGGGCCATCATTATAGATTCTGGTGACATTGCCCCAAATGTTCAAGCAAACCTTGCTCCGTATTTGTGGCAAAGGTTAATCAATTTCTGTTCTGGAAATGTTAGGGGTTGGGTCAATGGATTAAACTGCCCATTCAGTTATATTTTTATAATTCTATGTACCATGTAAAGCTTATTAAATTTTTAATATCTTATACAATAGGTTATCTGGCAATGTTAGGGGTTCAGTAAAGGGATAAATACTAGTTTATTAAACTGCCCATTCAGTTATATTATTATAAGTATATGTACTACGTAAGGCCTATACATTTTTAATATCTTATACATTTCTTTAACTACTCTTAGTACTTAATTTCATTTTAACTTTGAAGATCATCTGGAGGAGTGCAGGTTGTATGAAATACCTGCACAATTCTATTCAAATTATCAATTAATATCAATTTTGTTTCATTTTGCTGATCATCTGAAGGTGTTTAGGTTTTAAAAAAACCCTGCTAAAATATATTCAAATTATTGAAAAAATGTCCTTTTGATCAAAATAAGATCTGTGAATAAAAAGTAGCAAAATAAATTTATCCAATTCTTAAATATATTTCAGATATGAAAGAAAATTTTAAAGAAACATTTTACATTAAGTTAAAATAGTAGAAAAAATAATCTGTGATACTGAGAAATTCTTGTTACTGTTCATTAAATAAACTCTCTTAGAAAATCTCTGTCTTGTTTGTTATCAATTTTATTGAACATGTTTGGTTCTAAGTCACTTTCACACTGTAATATGTATACTGTGACTTTTCAGTGTTACTGGTGGAAAAAGGCCCAAGATGCTTATTCAAGCAAAATTTCAGGCACATTTGGTTACACAAGTACCTGCCATGCAGTATTACAGACTCATTTATGATTTTGGCATCTGCATGTGTACCCTCAATATGTACAATATTTCTGGCATTTTTTGGTACAGGTTTACTAATTCATATGCATTTTGGCAAGAGTGCACCCTCAATACAATATTTCAGACTCAGTTTGGACTTGTGTACCCACAACTCAATATATCAAGACCCATTTGGGTACAAGAGTACCCTCAAGACTAATTTGGGTATCATAGTACCCTCAAGACTCATTTAGGTACCAGAGTACCCTCAAGACTCATTTGGGTAACAGAGTACCCTCAATACTCATTTGGGTACCGGAGTACCCTCAATTTAGTATTTCAGACTCACTTGGGTAACAGATTCTCATAGTACCTGCAATTCAATATTTAAGACTCACTTGGGTACCAAAGTACCCTCAATTCAATATTACAATTTGGAATACCCTTCAGACTCGATTTTTATCTTTGGAGTACATTCAATGCATTATTTAAGACACAACTTGACACAAAAGACTACCCTCCTCCATGTATAACTTTTAAGCACAGACTGACAGGCAATTGAATCTGTCCATTAACAACAAAATTATGGCAATTAGAGTAAAATTCAACAATTTGACAGTGAAAGTCATGATCACTTTAATTTCAAGGTCAAACTTGAATAATTCAACAGGTTGGTGTGTTTTGTACAAATATGAATCAAATTCTAAGAAAAACAACAAAGATAACTCATGCAAAATTCAATAATTTGACCTAGAGAGTCAATGTCATTTTAATGTCAACTCTAAAATTTGTAACCAAATAAGGAATTTATCATAAGAAAAACATAATTCAAAATTTAACCTTGACATTCAAGGTCATATCAAAAATTATTCAACATGATTTTTTTGTCATTATCAATGTCTTATACAATATTAATGAACTAAATTTGTAAATAAATAACATAGTTTTGGCCAATCTAAGCAGCTTTCAACAACTTTAACTTGATGGCCAAGATCATTTTAAGGTCAAGGTCATATTTTATCTATTATGTTGGTTTGGCTGTAAATGTTTTTTACTTGATATGAATAAAAGTCTTCAACAACAAAAAACTTTAGCAAAACTTATGATTTTAACTTGATACTCAAGGTCAATTAAAGGTCAATGTCATATTTGAATGTTTTTTTGTTTTTGTTTTTTCATTTCCTTATATTTGTTTAGTCACAAGTGGTGTTTTGTCCCAGTCTGAATAAAATCCTTAAATAACAACAAAGTTACAACCATTTTTAGCAAAATGCAATAGGGTTACCTTGAATGTCAATAGGGTTACCTTGAATGTCAATACGGTGACCTTGAATGTCAATGTCAAATGAATGTTGAGTTCAAACCATCTTAAAGGTCTTCTGCTAAGAACTGTTGTATCAGAATATGAAGTATTACTACAAATGTAAGTTATAGCCAATTATTTCAAAAATTGTGAAATTACATTTATTTGACTTCAACTTCTTCAAGGTCATTTCAAATTCAAGGTCAAGTTAAGTCTTCGGAGGATTTTTCCACAAGGTTGTCCTGACCTTGTAAGAAGACAATCCATCCTCTAATAACAAAATTATAGCACAAATCTAGCAAAATTCAATTATTTTATCTGCAAGGTAAATGTCATTAATTTTATAGTTCAAGGTCAATGTCAGTTGGATTTTCTTGTATGTTAGCACATATGAAGGCAATCCGTCTATAAATAAATAAGTTATAGCCAGTCGCAAGCCAAAAATTGACCTTGACATTTTTTGAGAGAAGGTCAAATTCAGTGAATTCAACTTGAAGGTCTTGTCAAAAGGGTTCTTGTGTCCAAAAATTATGTCCAATGTTAAAGTTCTTTGGACAGCATCGGCAACAGCAAAACAAACAACAACATGACAGTAGCAATAGCTCCTTTTTTTTCTTTGAAAAAGTGGAGCTAAAATATTTTGAAAGACCACATTGGTTTTATTATTTTATCCAATCATAAAAAACAAAAAGAGGAATACTACAAAGATGCTGATATCTATACAGTTTTCAAATGTGTGTTTATATTTTCACTTGTAAATTTAATGTTGGCATCAATTTATAATGTCATTATATTCCGTATATTACAAATACGCCGAACACCTTTATCTAAATTATTAAAGAAAAATCAAATTATTTCAGAGTCCTGAAAATTCACGAAAAACAAATTAAAGCAAACTTTTTTTTTTACTTTTTTGTTATTGTTGCATAAAATTAATATAATCTAACATATAAACTTCCATCTAGTGACCTCCGTGAGCTTTCCTCTTGGCAGCTTGCCCTGAGAGCTGGTCAAATGCTATGTACAAAACTGAAATAAAACAAAAATTACATTCTTCATATCTTTTCAATTACACAGCCTATCTATAAACAAATCACCAACACATAAAATATCATTTAATTCATAAAAGTTTGTTTGTTTAAGTTTTAATGCAAATTTCAAAATATAAGCCGTGCCATGACAAAACCAACGTAATGCTTGCGACAAGCATGGATCAGACCAGCCTGCGCATCCGTGCAGTCTGATCAGGATCAATGCTGTTCGCTTACCAACCCTATTACAAGTAGAGAAACTGATAGCGAACAGCATGGATCCTGATCAGACTGCGCGGATGCGCAGGTTGGTCTGGATCCATGCTGGTCGTACACCCATTATGTTGGTTTTGTCGTGACGCGGTTCAATTATATTTTTTCATATCTCGGTGGTCAATTAACTGAACCAGTATTCCTGAATAACTATTTAGTAATTATAAATATCTCTGCAACTAACTGTCTACTAATTACATCATGATTTCTGAATCATTCTGAATAAACAGTGATAGATATAATGACCATTAGACTCGGTGTCAGAGATCAATTGTTATGGAGAAATTTTACCTTGCTCAAGGTCCAACCAGTGACCCCTTGATTACAAATCTAATTAGAACTCTCCATATTGAGCATAGTGGACAAACATATATATATACGTTAAGTTTTTTACATGAATTATATTTATATCTAAAGAAGCTTATGATCCTTATCCTACCACTAGCAAATGCAGCCATTTACTATGGAAAGCCATGGCTGTCTGATATTGTTCTTTTTCAATTTATTTAACCATTTGGATAATATATAAGTTCACTTCGACTATATATGACTTGAAAACACCTTCTTATTTAACTGGAATCCATAATATTAATCCACAGTTACAATATATGAAACCATGCTGTCAGTGTATGAAACCGAGTTAGCAATATATAAGTTGAAAAATACATAAATTGAAAAAGAACAATATCAGACAGCCATGGCTTTCCTTAATTTACTGAAGTTTTATTCATTTGGCTTAAGAATTTATAATTTGGCTACAGGATTGTTTTCTGTTGTGAAGCTGTTTTAACAAAATTTTAAATGAAATCAGAAAATCACATAGTAAAACATTGCAGATATTTTAAAATCAGGACTCCCCTCACAACCGCCTGCAACAACCAAATAAACAAAACTAGAAATATCTCCGTAAGACACGGATGCCCCTTATGTTTTACTGTTTTATCGTTTACAGACTGACATGCATGATACAGAAATAGAATGTGGTGTTTGTTGTAGTTTAACCTATGGATAACAGTAGTAAGCTGCTTTGAATTCATCACTGCATAATTTCTCAATCTGGGCAGGTTGTCAAGCAGTTAAAAAGTACTAAATGCCTTACTCTTTTACAAGGAACAGCTATTGCTTCTGCAGTTGCCAGAATCCCAATAACAGTGTGAATGGCTGTAGAAAAGATTTCATGACTTATCACAACAAAAGTAACCTGCATCATCCAGGGATCAAACCCAGGAAACACAGTCCAACACTTAGTTATTTAGCTAACCCGAATGTCACACATGTATATGCCCCCCCCCACCCCAACGTGCCAAAGTTCAAAAAGGCACAAAATCCTTACCAACAGCAACACCACCAATAGTAAAACCTCTGGGAAGTGGTGAATTCACTTGCCACATCATGTACCAAGGGATAGTCTTGCCTTTAGTGAGTGGGTTCATGAATTTCCAAGCATAGTTTCTGAAAGAAAGAATAAAAATCAATTAATTTCATTTTCAATACTGCATAATTAATTAATTAGCAAGTGTGCAAGTATTGTTCCTCTTTCTGGGTTTGCCAAGAAAAATCTTTTTGCAATGAATTATGGTGGTTTTGTCAAACTACCGGTTCGGCAAACTTAATTTATAAGAAGAGGTGTGAAAGTGGTTTTGTCGACCTTACATGTATGTTAATTGTTATATAGTAACTAAAAGCAAAGTTGACATGGTTCATATATTATATAAAGTGTTTTTATTTTGATTAAAAACAATGTTTGTTCTTTTTCAGCTTTTACCATTTGTGATTATAGTATGACATAGATTATAAAAATAATGTTTCCATATTTTACAGGCTTCACTTAATGACAAATGTATGAAATGTAATTTGTGTAAATTTTTTTCCAGGTTTTTACTTATATACGTATATATATTTCTATGATGTTGTTTGTTCATTGAGATCTTTTGTTTTGTGTTATGCTTTTATGTAAACTAAAAAAAATAAATAAATAATACGTTTAAATTTTCAATATACATGTATTGTCTTTAGGAAGTGGCTAGCCATACGGGCCGGTACGGCTAGCCAAAAGTTCTAGCCGTACGTGAGTCACATATTGTATTTCCATCGTATTCTTTATTTACAAAATGGGGGAGCATCATTATTAGAGTAAACATTATATGTCGACAAATACGGGTTCTTGTTTAAATTCCCATTTAAAGACACAAAATAACATACACATTTTAGACATTTATATTATTTTGAAAAGTGCCGTATGGCTAGACAAAACAGTTTGTACTGGCTAGCCGTATGTGAGTCACGTACGGCTAGAACTTTTGTCTAGCCATACTTAATTTCATGAAAATGTGTGATAAACCACACATTATAAACCACACATTGTCCCACGATAATTGACATGCCCATTATACAATAGATATTTTTTGCACTATATAAATTAAGTTTGCCGAAACCACTACCTGTTTTGTTATATAAAATGAGTTGGCCGAACCGGTAGTTCCACGAAACCACTCTCACCCTTTGCAACTGTGACAATTTCCATTCTGTTTATTTACAGATTAAAATATTAAAATTGGGGATGGGCTATTAAGGCACAGACTGTCGATAAAAATGACGAAATTCTAGACTATTTTTTTCTTGACTATTCAGTACTGTATTGGCTATTGCTCATGCAAGTGGTAGTCGTTGGATTTACTAACAAGGCTAGATATGTCAGATACTCAGCTAACAAGCCCCTTTGATGTGGTAATGTTAATGGATTATCGATTATAAGTAATATTAGATCTCTTTTTTTTTAATTCAAATAATATCTCTAGGTGAAATAAATAACAAAAAAGTCAAAATTTAATTTTAAAAATATCTGTCACATGATAGAAATTCACTGTATCCCACTGTAACCCTTGTCATGTGGGGGTGAAAAATAATTGTGATTTTGTGCCATATAGCCCGGGGTTCTATGATATCACGGTACTTAACGTTTATCGGAAAATATTTAAATATAAATATCATAAATGAATGAGATTTTTCTTCCATCTTATAATTGAACCTTTTCCAGAACTGTTTGTCAAAAAATTATTTCAAAAGAGCCAATAAAAATGACATTTTTTATAGGGGTGTCATCGATTCAATCGATATCGGTGTATCAACGATCTTTGTTATCCGATTCGATATCGATTCCATTTTTTAAATATCGGATATCGAATGCACATATATTTCTAGCTAAAGAGACTTCAACGAACAGGTTTTATAGAACTGATAGACCTGTTTACTGTCGCAAAACGTCAAAATAAAAGCGACATATAAAGTTATGGAAGCCAGAAACATTTTTTTTCTAAAATGAAAACGGAAATCAATGCCAAAGTTACCTCCCAGTGTCTCTAACGAATGCTGCCTAATTTCGTTGTAATCTCGCATGTCTGCTAAGTGGATGTCAAGACCCCTCAATTCAGATTTTAAAAAGGGAAAAATGCCAAGAAAAATTTGTCAGTGTTTCTTTGAAAAAATTATGATTACAAAATGTTAAACTTTAATAAATATTCAGGTTCTAAACACTATAATTTGCCAATTAAAGTCGGCTTAATTGGAACGGCAAGGACGAGATTTAGCATGATCAGTAACTACGTAATAGCAACAACAACAACAAAAGTAAAATGGAAAAGGCTTTAAACTTTATAGTTACTAGTCATTAGTTTTCATTTATAGCTATATGATAAAAAAAGAAACAAAAATCCTTATCGATGACACCTCTAATTTTTTAGAATATTTTCAATGTCTGCCATTTTGGGTAATTTCAGAGGAGGTTACTATGGTATCAAGGTAATCCCCAAAAAAGCAAGTATGGAAGAATAGATTGTTCAAAACTTTCAGGTTAAGTTGTGAAAACTTCCAACAGTTAACTTGCTATAAAATTAAAACTATATGAACAGACTATATGTCAGTTTATGTGTTTATAACATATTTTAATTGACTGTGTAAAAGTCATTAAGGAAAATGGTAGTCAAATATGAAGGTTTTATAAAATAGTTTTCTTGCTACAAATACATTCATTATTCACCACATTAAATTTATTGGCAGATGAAAATGAATCTAGTGTGCAAGTTTTACAAATATTAGCATCATCAAGTGTTGCTTTTACTAGCAATCACAGAAAATTTAAATACCTTGATATCATAGAACCCTTGATATCATAGGAACCGAGTATATGACCAAGGCCACTGGGGCAAAAACTGGAAAAAAACAGTCACACTATCAATAATCATTCTCCTATTTTGCCTGGTATTAATACACACCCCTATTAATTAGATGTTATTCATACAGACGTGGTAAATGTCACTTTGAATGTTCTTTTTATTTTGTCAGACAAGTTTGAGAGGTTACCCCACCCACAAAAATTACCTAGCCCAAGGATCCTTAAGTCCGTGTACAGCTAAACGTTTTTGAAGGTTTACTATTTGAGGACAATTTTCCCACTTGTAATGTGTATATTTGGGGATTTTTGGCATCTCATGGCCTCCGCCACCCATTTTTGAAGTAGAATTATAAATATTTCATTAAAATTTAAAGTTTTCGTCTTCTTCACGGTCGGCTGGTTCCAATTCAGAAGCTGGGTACCAGGACCTAACTAATGCCGTTACTTGCCGTACTGTACGTTAGGTTGAAAGACCCAGTTTAGTGTCACGGCGGCCAAGTCCACTGCAACGGTCATATTGTGTTTATTATCTTTAGGTACACAAGCTTGCGATATAAATTAAAATATCGACAAATTAATCAACTGACAGCGTAACGCAGTAAGTACGGTTGTCAGTTAATCTTTTTTTGTAGTTAATTATCAATGCAAGACTGGTTCGGACAAAAAGAAGTGTTAATTAGTGTTGTGTTAATTTCTATTAACTTCTCATTTCACTTTTTTTTCAAAAATAATATGTAGCAAGCTGGTACAACCATATATACTGAATACTAAACGGAATGAATACATGTACACACATTGTTTCAACTATAGTTCAGTTAGCACGAAATACTCATGCACTGCACAAGTACTATGTAAACTGCATACTACACACTACAAAAGAAAGATAAAAATGTTATTACCGGTACATTTATATATGTTAATTATTGGATATCATAACAAAACTACCAATTTTTCCATTTCATTTGCATCTTTAGTAAAATTGAAAAAAAAATAGGGAAACAAAAAAAAACCCAGAAAATGTAAGACAACTTGTGAGACTCGAACTCGTGAAAAAATAAGTTGTATTAATATTGCATCTCAGTGACTTTACCAACTTTGCCATCAAGAATTTAAAAAATTCTATTTTTTATCTTGTACTATATTCGCTTCTAAAAAACCTGTTTTACCTATTCAGACAAAGATTGTAAACTTTAGTTTACACAAAAAATGCAACGTCACTCTCACATTATCATAGCGGCACAGTACTACGTGGATTTGAGGGGGTCATCATATTCTTGTGATTTGGGAAATCTATCATTTGTCATAGTTGTCATATGCATGCATTGTTATTTTTCACAATCAATTATTAGAAATACACATTTTATAAAAGTATTATTACTAAAGTCTTAAAATTTGTTAGTGTAACTTGAAGTAAGGTATCACAAATACAATGCATAATGTATATTTTAAACATTTTAATGTCCCCCTTCCCCCCAATTTCGTATTTTTCAGACGATCACGGATATTCTAATTATCCATTAATTTCTATTTGTTGTTGTTCATCTCTTTTTCATTTACGATGTTATATGACAAAAGCATAAACTTAAGAGGTTCTTTAGTAGTCTAACAAAATCTACCACTAGTCATTTTTGAAGAACATCGACCGTTCTAACGTGGCTTTTCTTTTTCAAAATTAAAAATTTCAGAAGGTTATAATTAGCTTATTTCAGCATACACGTACGTAACCGTTCCTGTCAATCTTTTGTTTTGTTGTTTTTTTTCGACCGATTGCTGAATGACCGCGTTTAATAGGAAGTCCTAAGTGTATTCTAAATTTTTTTAAATTGGTTTTTACGACACACCGACAGAGTTTAGGTCATATGGCGACGTTCCAGCTTTACTGGTGGAGGGGAAGACCTCGGGTGCCCCTCTGTGCATTATTTCAGGCACGAATGGGCACTTGAGTAGAACCACAGACGTTCCGTAAGATAGCTGAAGTCCCTGTCTGGATTCGAACCCACAGCGGTGAGGGGCAAACGATTTGAAGTCAACGATATTGACCACTCGGCCATGGACGGCCGTGTTCCCTAAGTCTTACAGCTACCTTCGCAGCTCACTGAATACACTCACGTTAGTAAGAAAGTGAGCGATAGTGGAACATTCGACCGATGCGCAGGAGAGTACCTAAGTCTTAGGCCATGAAACCAACTTCAGGACTAACTCAGGACCGTTTCAATAAACAATTTTATCTTTATTCAAATGCTGTTGACTACAAATTAATGCATCCTACGGAGAAAAGTTAAGAGACCATTTTATTCGCAATGCGCATGCGTAAATGCCAAATCAGCATAGATATTCAGAATAAAAGTATTAATTTCTACAACAAACTTTCTAGAATTACCATTTTAAAGAGTTTTGGAAATGACATATTTCAGAGTTTATTATAGTCGTCTTCTACACGATTGCATTTTGCTTTAGATATTTCCAAAGACATATATTCTTCACTGATATTTCTAAATAATCTGAATTTGAAAATGCAAATTAAATAAAACGTAATTATTACCCTATACTCAATATATTGAAGTTAAAGGGATAAACCCGTTAATGTACATGTAAGAAAAATACTTGGTGTATCCATTGTAAGTATTTAAATGGTTTATTTCAATAATTTAGTATTTACTATCAGATTTGAGAAGACACATTAATTAATGAAGTATTTGACAACGTACCCATTTATCAGAAGTCCGAGATCTTATTACCGACACTTCATCTCCAGCGAGAATGTAGGCAGTCATAAAAGAATATTTCGGCTGACATACATGTATTTAATGAAACTTTAAAAATATTACAATATTTAAATATAACACAAAAAGACAATTAAAAAACATGCAAATGAAAAAGATAACAGCATTATAATTGCTAATGAATTATAATTATATAATTTACTTTCAACATTATACCTTTTTTTAATTGTTTAGATCTAAATGATTTCTTACATGTATTTTAAATTATGCATTGGTATACATGTATGAGCCAAAAATATATCTGTTTTTATCAGGTCTATATAAATTTATAATACAATTTAAAAAAATATGCTCAAATAATAATATATATACATGTATAAATATTTTTAATCACCATTGATAACATTTCACATCTTTCACCTTCATTGGTACTAGTGTAAAACACAAAACTAAAAATATGAGGGGTGAAGTGCCTCAATCAAATTTCATAAAAAAAAAGAAAGGCCTGAAGTGTCTGAGCGGTGAAGTGTCTGAAGAAAGTAACTTGGGATGAAATGGCCGTGGTAGAAGTGTTATAGATATACATGTATATTTGAAATTCAACCTAAGCTATCAAGGTCCAGTCAATTAAAGAGTTGAACGGGATTAAAGTTTTATCTAAATATTTTGATACACACTTTACAGGATTGATATAAAATTATTTATTTTAAGGTGGCTTGATATTTTATTACAAACATTTTCTTAATTCAGCCGTTGTTCTAACACCAATATAACAGTCTTTTTTTAAGTTATAAAGTTAAAATATTATATGGTCTGGCATTGATAGTCAATTAAGCACAACTTGACAATGAAAAAAATGAGCGTAATATGTCACTTTTGTTAAGTCAAACTTTTACTGTAATTTTTATCTTATATCTTTATTTATTTTTTATGTTTATGATGTTTATTTTATTTATTTATTCATTTATTTCTTTATTATAATTATAATTATTATTATTATTATTATTATTATTATCATTATCATTATCATTATTATAAATAAAGTCCGTAAATGGTCATAGTTATCAGAGACATACAATGTAGATAACATCTAGGAGCTGTATTTATATATTTCTCAATTTTATACTAACTTTTTTATATGCTAATAACATGATTTATCTTCAGAATATTAAAATATAAACAATAGTTAGAAGACATATTTTAATGCATGTTTGTAAAATAACGTGAAATGTGTGTGTTAGATAGCACAAACAAATGTCCTACAGCCAGTCTTTCATTCTGACAACTATCAGACATTTAAAACGTACTCAGAAAATACGGGGGTTTGCTAAGGTTTTCACCAATTCCGGGCCCCAAACACGGGAGGATTGGGGCAAGAAATCCTAAAAAAGGCCCCAAAGGGTCAAAAAAAAACCCCAAAGAACCCTCTAAAAAGACTTAAACCCGAAGAAAAAGGAAAAGATCAAAAAAGGTTAAAAAATTTAGATTACTCAAAATAGTACAAAAATTTAACCGAAGAAGTTAATTGGATTTTGGAATTTTATAGTAAACTCGGATGTAAGGGTTTTAAAAAAATTCAAAAATTTTTAAATTATCTTAGTAAAAATTTAATGAATTGTGGGGGTGTTTTAAAGAAACAGTTGTTACGATCAAACCAATTTTTAAATTTAGCATTTACATTGGTTTTTTCAAAAAATTCGAAAAATTCAATTTTCAAAAGTTCAAATAAATCAGACATTTAACTGTTAAATCTTTTTAATAGTTTTATGTCGGTCAAGCGGCTAGCCTAATAGTTTTTGTTTATAAATGCGTAGCATCATAAAAAATAAAAAAAATGTCTATTGTCTTGCCTTTCAAGTTTTATTCAAAAGCTTATCTTCTTTTCTTTCAATTTTATGCTCAATCATAAACCAAAACTCTCAAACAATGCACTTATCAATTTAAAATAAAATATAAACATCAATCTATTTTTGTCTATCGGCCATACTGGTTAAGTAAGGCGCTTAACAGATTGATTCCAAATTTTTGAACGGAAAATATATTAGAAAATGCTGACGGTGCATGGGCAATTATTTCGTTAAAAAATAATCCGTTAGAATCTTCTGATTCAGTTAAACGCTTGCATTTGAATTAGCCAATCATTCACTGTATGGCGGTCATTTGTTTATCTGCTTTATAAGGAATTTTATTACATGAGAGGATTTAATCATTATTTTTCGGATGTGACAGTTGAATTATTTTGTCAAAAGGCATTTATTTTTTAGTTTTGTTCATAAATAGGTAAGACTTAATGTAAATACACGCTGTCTTAGCGTTTTTTCTTGTTCCGCCTGATTTTCTGGCCAAACTTGCGATGGGTTTTTTAGCAATTTCGATATGACTGCTTTGCCCTGAAGCAAAAATATCTCAAAGCTACGTCATATTTATAGGACTAGAATTGTCCTTGTGGCAATCCATACAATATGATACATTGTTACTTGGCTTACTCTTCTAATATTTGCTAAGGGTTTTTTTATGGATGGATGTCACTGCAATGTTCCTGTGACCGTTGTGACTTTCAGTTCATAATTCGCGCTGCATGATATCTTCACCGCAGATCACTGTTTGGGCACTATGAAATATTGTAGCAATATTTTGCTCTGTCTGGTGACCATTAATTAATTTATTACATGCCGACATTTGCCCACCTGTTTTAAAAATGTTAAAAGTATTAATTGTTTGTTTTGTTAATTGTTTGTTTTTGTTAATGAAATTCGTCGCTGATTTTGAAATTCGGAATTGTTCCATAGTGCTTAAATGCTAAAAACACTAGCAAACAAAATAGTATCCGTAAATAAATGAAATATAATGTCATAAATAACATACATAAATTTAAGATGACTTCTGACAGTGCTTCTGATGTGTTGAGATTGTCTTTTATTTCTACATTTGTGAAACCTACTGTACATGTACTTGACAGATCTATAAGAATTATAAATTTTGTATCTTATCTTTTCAGGATAAAACATTTGGATTGAAAAACAAGAAAGGATCTAAACAACAGAAGTTTATAAAGACTGTTACACATCAGGTGAAAAATGCTGGACAAAAAGTGAAGGTAAGGAATAGTAATCAAAAAAGTAGTCAAAAAGGTGTGTTTAAGGTGAAAACATTGCCAGTTTTCTATCAAAATAAAGCTTAATCACACAAATTATTCATTTATCACATTTATTCCAATTTGTGTAACTTCAGCCAAATACAATAAAAGATTAAAGATGTCACATCCTTAGTTTAACAAAGCTGTTGAATATTGGTTGTTTCGTCGATCCTTTATGGCCCCCATGGGTTGGGCGAATACAGTAAAAAAGTTGCATCATGGTTCTTATTTAGCCTTTAGATACTTGAAAGCTATTATCTTTTTCCTACATGTTATTAGCCGGCATTAGATAATACTGGACAAGCTCAAGTCAGAACACTGAGGATAAATTTAATATGTAAATGGTTGCTACACAGAACTCTGCAGATGTGTCTTTCCGTGTGCAATCAAACTTTTAACTACATATGTACACAATTATATAGCTTCAGTATGATCTACCATTCTTGATACAATGGTATCCCTACAAATGTGGTTTTTTCATATCTTATCTCAGGGTACAGCTAAAATACATCTTAAATGTTCTTTACCATTCATGATACAAAGGTCAACATGTTAATTGATACTATATTTTCCAAGTTGTTACTGTTACTAAAGAAGTTTGTTTGTAATTGTACCCCCGGATTAAATGGGAAACATCCACATTTGCTGAATACCAGTACCATTCAGTTAGCTCAATAGGTAAAGCGAAGGAATAATGCAGTGGCTGAACTGTGCTCCGGTAAAAAAAATCAATATGGCTTACTGACATGATCTGGACTGAAAGCCACCAACACCACTATTTGCCAATTTCTGGATTATCTCTTTGTAGTGGTTCATTAGTAGTGGTTCATTAGTAGTGAATTTGTCTCCTATTTTCCAGCTTGAAGAGTTAAATAAACCTGGTGACAAGAAAGGTAAAGGAAAGGAGCTAGATGAGTTAAATAAATTATTCAAACCAGTCCAGCAGACAGTCGGAAAAGGTAAGTGAATTATTAAACCATTATTATTTACCTTCTAAGCTGTTTCAACCGTCATTAGATTGTGAGTAAGGGGCAACTTTTGGCTGCTCTACTTCTATGGCAATATTTAATTGGGAATCAAGCAATTTGAGCTTTGCCACCACAAAATTGGTTTAGAAAGAAATTCTATATTATATGCAAAATTTTTATGCCTCTGCATGCACCTTGATAAGCTGTCCTTGCGAATCCACTGATAGGTCTTAGGGTCAAAGGTTAAGCCTTAAGGTCTACTTTTACAAAACTACTGCGCATCTTCTCTCTACGCTTAACCATTGCTACTAAACTAATCAGAGGAAGTTATCACTGCAAGGAGTTTGTTGTTCTAGCGGACATTTGATAAGCTGGCTGTTGCATTGCATTTGTATTAGAGGGACATTATTTATAACATTTTACTCTAGTTATTAATGTATTCTTATTTATTACACTGTATATACAACTGGAGTTTGTGCCAGTCTTGTTATAAAAGAAATTGCAAAACCTGAAAAAAACTGGAGGAATAATGATCAAGATCCATTATTTTAAAGATCAAATTCGTGCTAAGTTCACAATATTTTCCCACATTCCCTTTTCATCTTAAAAGCAGTGCAAACTGTGTTAATATCTGTAATTATAAGACTCATGAAAGATACATTTACATTTCTAAATGTGCTGGAAGAATTATAAAGACACGGCTATTAATAAGCCAGCCCATCTGTACTCTGCACTTTGATTTCTCATAAGTACATAAGTTTTGTTTTTATTTTTCAACAGGTGTTGACCCGAAGTCAGTAGTGTGTGCATTCTTTAAGCAAGGCCAGTGTACAAAGGGAGACAAATGCAAATTTTCTCACGACCTCAACGTATCTCGGAAGTCAGAGAAGAAAAATTTGTACGAAGATGTCCGAGACGATGGTAAGTGCCACAGTTTTTGTTTGTTTTTCAGCCATTTTTTGAGGCCAAAAATGTTTGTTGTTTTTAGCTCACCTGTCACAAAGTGACAGGGTGAGCTTTTGTGATCGCTTTTCGTCCGGCGTCCGTCCGTCCGTCCGTCCGTCCGTAAACTTTTGCTTTAAATGACATCTCCTCATAAACCACTGAGCCAATTTCATCCAAACTTCACAGGAATGTTCCTTTGGTGGTCGCCTTTAAAAATTGTTAAAAGAATTTAATTCCATGCAGAACTCTGGTTGCCATGGCAACCAAAAGAAAAAACTTAAAATATCTTCTTTTAAAAAACCATAAGAGCTAGAGCTTAGATATTTGGCATGAAACATCTTCTAGTGAGTGTCTACCAAGTTTGTTCAAATAAAAGCCCTGGGGTCAAAATTGGCCCCGCCCCTGGGGGTCATTGATTTTCCCTATATGCATATAGTAAAAACTTAAAATATCTTCTTTTAAAGAACCGTAAGGGCTAGAGCTTAGATATTTGGCATGAAACATCTTCTAGTGAATGTCTACCAAGTTTGTTCAAATAAAAGCCCTTGGGTCAAAATTGGCCCCGCCCCAAGGGGTCATTGATTTTCCCAATATGCATATAGTAAAAACTTAAAAAAATTTCTTTTAAAGAACCCAAAGAGCTAGAGCTAAGATATTAAGCATGAAACATCTTCTAGTGAATGTCTACCAAGTTTGTTCAAATAAAAGCCCTGGGGTCAAAATTGACCCTGCCCCAGGGGGTCATTGATTTTCCCAATATGCATATAGTAAAAACTTAAAAAAATTTCTTTTAAAGAACCCAAAGAGCTAGAGCTAAGATATTAAGCATGAAACATCTTCTAGTGAGTGTCTACCAAGTTTGTTCAAATTAAAGCCCTGGGGTCAAAATTGGCCCCGCCCCGGGGGTCATTGATTTTCCCTATATGCATATAGTAAAAACTTAAAAAATCTTCTTTTAAAGAACCATAAGAGCTAGAGCTTAGATATTTGGCATGAAACATCTTCTAGTGAATGTCTACCAAGTTTGTTCAAATAAAAGCCCTGGGGTCAAAATTGACCCTGCCCCAGGGGGTCATAGATTTTCCCTATATGCATATAGTAAAAACTTAAAAAATCTTCTTTTAAAGAACCCAAAGAGCTAGAGCTAAGATATTTAGCATGAAACATCTTCTAATGAGTGTCTACCAAGTATGTTCAAATAAAAGCCCTGGGGTCAAAACTGGCCCCGCCCGGGGGGGGGGTCATTGATTTTCCTTATATGTGTATAGCAAAAACTTAAAAATCTTCTTTGGAAAAACCCAAATAGCTAGAGTTTAGATATTAAGCATGAAACATCTTTAAGTAAATATCTACAAAGTTTGTTAAAATAAACGCCCGGGGGTCAAAACTGGCCCTGCCCCAGGGGTGACATTGTTTTTAACTATATGTGTATATGTGTACAATCTTCTTTTAAAAATGCCAATGAGCTAGAACTTAGATGTTTAGCATGAAACATCTTCTTATGGGTGTCTACCAAGTCTGTTCAAATAAACAAATAAAAGCCCTTGGGTAAAAATTGGCCCGGGGGTGGGGGGCCTATATACAGGTGAGCGACCTCAGGGCCATCATGGCCCTCTTGTTTTTTTTGTTGTTGTTTTTTTTATAAATTTAATGTTTAGAAAATCGATAAATTTTTTAGCATATTGGAACTGAAACTTGTGGTAATTACACATATATGTAGGTTGTTGACAGAGTAATGTTACATTATAAGTTATAAAGATATTTGACAGATAATATTGCCCTTTAAAAGGTCATATGGAAATATTTCTTCATAAATTGACAGCAACTGTGTATATAAAACTATATTAACGTCACGATTATCCAATGAAAATGTATTATAAAAGTGGGTATATATTTCAGACAAGATGGAAGACTGGGATGAAGAGAAACTCGAGGAGGTTATCAACAAGAAACACGGCGAACTAGAGAAGGCCAAACCTAAAACTTCCATTGTGAGTATTCGGGCTCTCATGTGTTGTACAGTTAGCTCCTCTTATTGTTTTAATGATAATAAAACGTGTAATAACATTTTTACCATAATTCTCAATGGGTAACACAAATTTCTCATGAATACCTGGTGTGTAATGGTAAATTCCCAATTTGAGTCGAAATGATGCATTTTCCCAAATTTGTTCAGCACCGGCACCAGTTTCAAAGTAGGGAAAAAAATGTTGCTTACATATTAGGTCTATTGCACTTTGTTTAAATTATGACTGTAGGCTTATTATTTGAATTAGGTGGAATGACGTCATTTGTATCTGTATGTCTTGTTTATTTTTCAGATTTGCAAATTTTTCCTAGAAGCTGTAGAAAATTGTAAGTATGGTTGGTTTTGGACGTGTCCGAATGGTGGAAATGATTGTAAATACAGACATGCTTTGCCACCTGGTATGTATTTTGTTAACATTTTATTAGCTCGACTATTCGAATAGAGTGCTACTATACTCATCCTGGTGTCAGTGTCACACTTTAGTTAAGTTTTTGTGTGTGAGTTGGTGTCTCCAAAACTACTGAAAGGAATGGATTGAATCTTCACTCACTTATTTGAGAGCATAATGGTAGAATTACATGAACATAGACTTGGACAGAATTATGGCCCTTTTTTGAACTTTGACTTTGTCCAGGCTGTTGTTTTACTATCAAGAACTGAGAATAGTCATGCACGCTGCCCTACAGACAGCTCTTGTGATGGTGAACACTATAAATGTTGGCCGTTTTGGTCATGGTTATTGACATTGAATCATTCAACCTTTTCTGTCATGGGTTTTTATGCCCCTGCCATGTAATGGCCGGGGCATATAGTGTTACCCTGTTCCGTCATTCCGTCCTTCCATCCTTCCGTCATTCTGTCATTCCGTCATCATCAGTTTCCGTTCATTATCTTAAGAACGGTTGGACACATTCAACTCAAATTTGACATATGGATATGTCATGAGAAAATACAGGTCAAGTTCGAATTTGGTCATGGTTCGATGATTTTTGGCAGAGTTATGCCCCTTTTACTTTGAAAATAATATGAAATTTCAGTTTCCGTTCATTATCTTAAGAACGGTTGGACACATTCAACTCAAACTTGACATATGGATATGTCATGAGAAAATACAGGTCAAGTTCGAATTTGGTCATGGTTCGATGATTTTTGGCAGAGTTATGCCCCTTTTACTTTGAAAATATTATGAAATTTTCAGTTTCCGTTCATTATCTCCCCAACGGTACAACACAATCAACTCAAACTTGACATATGGATATGTCATGAGAAAATACAGGTCAAGTTTGAATTTGGTCATGGTTCGATGATTTTTGGCAGAGTTATGCCCCTTTTACTTTGAAAATAATATGAAATTTTCAGTTTCCGTTCATTATCTCCCTCAAGGTACAACACATTCAACTCAAACGTGACATATGGATGCGTCAAAGGAATGCGCAGGTCAAGTTCAAATTTGGTCATGGTTCGCTGATTTTTGGCAGAGTTATGCCCCTTTTACTTTGAAAATAATATGAAATTTTCAGTTTCCGTTCATTATCTATCCAAGGTACAACACATTCAACTCAAACGTGACATATGGATGCGTCAAAGGAATGCGCAGGTCAAGTTCAAATTTGGTCATGGTTCAATGATTTTTGGCAGAGTAATGCCCCTTTCACTTTGAAAATAATATGAAATTTACAGTTTCTGTTCATTATCTACCCAACAGTGTTACATATTCAACTTTAATTTTACATAAGGATATAGGACATGGGCAGGTCAAGTTGGAATTTGGTCATGGTTTGATGATTTTTTGGCAGAGTTATGTCCCTTTCACTTTGAAAATAATATAGATACATCTAAGGAATAAGCAGTTTAAATTTGAATTTGGTCATGGTTCAATGATTTTAGACAAACTTATCTTTCCTGAATGTTGGAAAAATTTTGAACTTTCAGTTTCAGCACTCATTCTTTTAGCCATTATTTTGGCTACAAATATGCAATATGCTATTTCTAAAAGGTTAAGACTGAATAATTTCAGTGCCTTGAACATTGTATGGAAATGGTTTGTGTTAACATTGAAAAGTTTTAAGGGCTTTGATCTTAAAATGAAAAAAATGATTAATGCACCATCTGAAATTTTGGCTGCATGCGGGGGCATCCGTGGCATGATGACACATTTCTAGTTTTATAGTTTTTCAGATGATTGAGCGGGGTTATGATAGATTTAAATAAAGCTAATGTGCGGGTTTGTTTTTAGAATAATTAACAGCATCTTGTAAATTTTACTCCACCAGTAAAGCTGGTATTAAGTCATTTGACCTTTCTGTGTTGATGAGGATTTTAACTCCACCTCTGAGGGGCGTCTGTGGTTGAATGGTTAAGGTCGTTGAATTCAAACCACTTGCCCCTCACCGCTGTGGGTTAGAATCCCCAACAGGGACTTTGGTTTCTTTCATGTGAGGAAACTATCCAGCTAGCTTTCGGAATGTTGGTGGTTCAACTCAGGTGCCCGTTCGTGCCTGAAATAATGCAAGGAAGGGTTCCTTAAGGTCTTCCTCCACTGGTAAAGCTGAAATGTCGCCATATGACCTATACTGTGTCGGTGTGAGGTAAAAACCAATCAAACAAACAAACAAACTTCAATATCCTCAAATCATGTATCTACTCCATACTATATGTTCCAGCTTAAATACAACATCCATCTACATTAATATTATGCACCTGATATTTTGAACCAGTTACATATGCATGTTAGCATTATTTAGTTAATTGTCAAATTCATGTTTTATAAATGAATAAATCTACAGTCATTCCATGGATTTTGACCTAAATAGAAAAAAATTATATTTAATTTCAACTCAAAACTTACTGTAAACAAAAAGATGAAATCGTTCTTAGTATTTTGAAAAAAATGTATATAACTTCCTTAAAATGTATAAAACTGTGTTATTCTTTTAAACTGCTTTAAAGAAAATAAGTGAAATATTTAATGGGTCTGTTTGGCAACCAGCCTGTTAGTACTTTGAACAAGGCTTAAAACAGAATAATTACTCATAATGGATGTGATGTCAAATAAATAGGGTAACACCATATGGTAGCATAATAAAATGCAACAATAATTATATACATAATTATAGTAAAAAAGTATACAATTACAAATATGTCATGCTTAGAGATATTTATTTATTTTAATCAATCCCTAGAGAAAAAGTTCAATAGGCTTAAATGGTTATAATATCAATTTGCAGGATTTGTATTAAAACGAGATCAGAAAAAAGAAGACAAAGAGGAAAAAATTTCAATAGAAGAACTCGTAGAAAAAGAGGTAATTTATTTATTAGCTCGTCTGTTATGAAGAAATAGTCAAGTTAGTTTGATCGTTGCGTCTTCCTGGTTTTTGTTGTTGTAATAAAAAAACTTTAATGTAGCCCATTTTTCAAACATTTTAAATTATATCAACACAAAACTTTAAATACTTGCTTATCATGACTAGGAGCAGTTCTTAGACAGGGGGCATAATCCTGAAAGCAATATTTTTAGAAATGATGTCCCTTATTAACTAAATATATTTGTAAAAATTGGTTATTGATAGTTAGTTGTTTGCTTGGAGCATCTGTGGCCGAGTGTTTAATGTCGTTGACTTCAAACCATTTGCCTCTCATCTGTGTAGGTTGAAGTTGTGCCAGCGTCTTCGTACTTATTAATGTGAGAAGGCTATCCAGCTAGCTTCACTTAACTCTTCAATAATTCAAAAACTGCTGATACATTAGAATTCAAAATTATTATTTAGTATAGAATAGCCTAGGTTTAAAATCAGTTATTATATAGAGTTGAAAATATACTTTCAACTGGTAAAATATTTTTTACTTCTATCTATCTTTGTAGAGAGCAGCATTGGGACATAACACAACAAAAGTCACTTTAGAAACATTTTTGAAATGGAAGGAAAGGAAGGTAAGAGAAATTTATCAGGATTTGGATTCTGCTAAGATTATCTGTAACTCTTAAGTTTAAGTCTTAACAAGTTGGAACTGAAGAAAATAGTGCTGTATGTGTATCACATGAATTAAATAGAGCTGTATGTGAAATAGTATGTGATAAAGGTAGCAAAATGTATTCATAATGATAGTTTGACTTCCATACAATATATTTTATCACTATAATTACTGTACTAATTGTCAAAAAACATCACTCAGGTATATGGCCAATGTGTAACTTTTTGGAAACAGATTTATAGGCCTTTAAGAAGAGCCCTATAACATATTATTTAATAGGCATTTAAGAAAAAGCCAATTACATTTTATTTATGGAGGAAATTGTTAAAATTAACAACTGGCAAACTATTGTTTTATTGGATATTTCAACAGCCTGTCTGCAGATAAGCTACCAAAGTTTCAAAACATCAAAATATTCACATTCTTGTACGACTATGTTAAAAGTGTTTTTCTTTTTTTAGCGAAAAGAAAAAATGAAGATACAAAAATCAGCACAGGAGAAAAAGAAAAGTGACTTTAAACAGGGCAAGGCATTCGGAGTAAGTTTTATAAGTTTTTGTTGTGTCAAATAATAAAGAAAATGGATTCTAAAATATGTAGAGGTATACATAAAAAATATTAAAGTAAAAGCATGGGTACAAGTTTTCAAGCATTTTGTTTTTTCTTCTCTTGAACGCTCTTATTTTGTCTATGAAACGAATTAAAATAATAATTCAGGGTTTTCTGATATTTTTAACTTGCACCCTTGTAAAGGGATAAGGCAAAAGGAAAAGAGGCACAAAATGTAGTATTCATTTCAGGAACTTGGATTGAATAAGCTCTTAAGTTTATATGATATGAAAAGTATCAGTATTTTAGTTTGATTTTAAATAAAAAGTTTGATTTCTAATTTAATTCAAGATGGACTAATAGCATCTGTGAAAGTTCAAATTGCACATATTATGTTTATGTTTTTCCTAGATATTCATAAAACTTCAGATGAACTGAAAATTTTATGCATGTGAAGTAACATCTCTGTAACAATATACTATGTGAATATGTCTTTCAACTTATTGAAATATTTATTATATGCTTGTAAATGAAATACTGAGAAATATTGATGAAATAAAATGTGTATTTTCATTTTCTGTATTTTCACTGATGTCTTGTCAGACTACTTTATTCTTAATTCAGCCAGTTCACAAAATTTACGGGAAAGTCTTTCAAATTGTAATGTCAAAAAAGAGATGAATGTATATAATAAACAAACAATACAATTTTTTTTTGTAAATACAGGATTTATTTTCATCTTGTGGTATGAATTTTATCATATTTCACTTTTGGCTTCGGCCACACATGAAATATTTTGAAAACGATAGTGCAGATTTAATATTTCATAACTTGTAATCAGATCAGTGGTAGAGAAATGTTCGAGTTTAACCCCGACCTCATCGAAGGTGACGACGAAGAGGCTACCGAAGATGTTCTCGAGCGTGAAGATCAGGAAGAGGAGGATGTCGGAAGTAATGTTAAAGATATCGATCTTGGCATGTTTGTACCGACGGATATAGATGGCACGGGAACTCGAGCAGAGGAACGCACTGCTGCGGGTGCAGGAGAAGGGAAGGCGCCAACTATGAATGGGATTGCAGGAGATGGTAAGATATTGTATCTTTTACCAGCTTTATCTTTTCTTTTGGTCATTTTGAAAAAATGTTACCTGTTATTAAATGAATAAGATGGTTTATTTTTGGATGTGATTAAAGATTTATGTTGGGATTTTTAACATCATCTATGTTTTAATATAACAATTTCATATTGTAAACAGTTTTATAAGGAGAGTGTTATCTAAGAAAAGAACACAATCCGCCCTTTAGATTTGTTTGTTTCTCAGAACTTTAATTTTATGGACACAGTTTGAATGAGAATGATATTTCAGTTAGAATTTGTTAAGGTGCATTGTGATAATTTTACTTGATAATTCCATATAGACGAGGCCAATAAAATGGATCTGGCCGGTGCGTTACCAACAGCAACAGGTGGAGGCGAAGCTTAACTTGCTCGGGGCGATGCTTATCGCCATGGCAAATGGCCGCCAAACAAAAAGATGTGATAATGAAAAAAACCCCCAATTTGAAAATTGGACGAAGAATTTGTTCTGATGGCGAGGAATCTGGATTTGCTGTAGAAGGAAGATGTTAAGAAAACGCTTTGACCTCGGAAGGAATTGAGCGTCGGGACTGTGGTGTCATAGATAACACCAAAAAACTTTTGGATTTCGGGGAACTAAAACTTACAATCTTTACCGTTACGGCATCCTGACGGCAATTCGAAATATAAATAGATCTATTTGTGCATATATTTCAATCATCTGAGCTTTTAAATCATTATAAACATTGAAAGTTTAAGCAAAGTTTAAGTCAGTATTTTTTTTTAAAGAAAATGCATAGTATACTATATCTAACAGTTGTTTTAAGCTGTTACAGATATTCTATACAGCTATAGAAAGTATGAAGACTACGCTGCTTCCTAAAATGTCATGCTTTCTGCTTGCCGAAAATTTCTGTACTTTAAAATGATCGACCAAATTTTTATTGACCTCTTGATGAAAATAACCTTACAACATTGTATAAGTTAAAGCAGCCTACAGCTTTTATTGTTTGTTGGAAGAAGAATTGTGTTGTTTCAAACTGAACATTTCAATATTTTTAACTTGGTAAAATGCATCATATTGCTGTTCAGTTGTCTTCAAAACAATGTCCCAAGAACTTTTCATAACGCATCAGTGATGATTTTAAAAGTGATTGGGAAATGAATTGTCTGCTTTACTAATTTAGAGCAAATTGTTAGATTTGAGGTAATGAGGGGTTTTCCTTATTGTTTATGTATTTTATCAATGGCAAATCTCATTTTCCACCTTATTTTGATTTGACAATTATATGAAACGATTAATTAGAATAACATATTTAATAACCTTTAGAAAAGCTGAACGTCTCTGTAAGAAACCTCCAGCATTTTTGTATTTTTGTTTGGGGGGGGGGGGCAGATTGTAATAAAAACATTCATAATTTGTCTTCAAACATAATTATTAGAATTTGTTATTGTAAGAGTTGCATTTGTGCGTTTTCTTTAATATTGTCTTGTTTGGCAATCCATGTTACATCTGTGGGCTACATTACATTTATTAGTTGCCATACTGTATGTTGGTAAAAAACAATGATTAGAAATTAGTGAGTTAATACACAAACACATTATTGTTCCTACATTATTAATGAAAATATTCCATATTTTCTGAACTTTTTCTTATGAAAAGCTTTGTACCTTTTTGCCTACTTTTTGATAAAGGTTAGAGCTTGTTTTTGGAAAGAAGGGAGAAGATAATAGTCTTGTAAGCTGATTTTTCTCAAGTGCATGATGGGATTGTAACAATAGTGATTTTGAATAAAAAAAAACGGTTTTGTTTTTAAAACATGTTGATCAGATAGTTCAGATGTTTTAAGAGAAATAAGTTCATTTAAGTGTGCTGTCCTAAATTATAACTGGTTATTTTTTATTGTACAACTTAAAGCAATTTATGTTTATTATTATTATTTAGTCATTACTGACGTCATTTTAACATTTTTCATGAGGTATTGTTAACATCTGTGTTAAAATCTGTCATAGTATGATATATATGATAAAACAAGCATATAATGAATTATTTATCCTGATGATTGGTTGCCCTATGTGCGTTTGTGTGTGGAGAAATTACCCTGTGTCTGTACATAGAGATATGTGAATTTTATTTTGGCAGTATAAGTTGTTTCTGAATTTCAAGTATACTGTGTTTTGATTAATAAAATAGTATGGGTATTCTAACAAAATTTAGCATTGCAAGTATGGGTGTCTCTGGCTGAGTGGTCAATGTTGTTTTCAAAAGACTTGATTACAATATTTAGCATTGCAAGTTGGAGCATCCATGGCTGAGTGGTAAAGGTTGTTGTCTTTAAAGACTTGACAACAAAATTTAGTATTGCAAGCTAATGTTCGGCCTGGTACACTCAAATGAAAATTTAATGACTGATTTGTTTTAAGATACAGCATATAATTCTTAGTGGAAGGAAGATTAGAAGGTTTATTTAACAAAATAACAAAAATTCTGTAGCTTTATTGACTATTGCAGTGAAATCTGGGGCTTTAAAACCTTTTTATCCCACATGTTTGCTTTATAAGTCAAAATTCAATATTTTAGCATGAAATATAAACTGTAGGCTTACTGATATCATTACTGAGTCATTTTCCAGGTGTTAATTAACTAGTACTGCAGGGTTTGAGTTTGTAATGTTATTATCTCCGTTCAATCTCTGATCTCCAGTATTTGATTGGTCAGAAACTGACACAGAATGTACACTGACCAATAGAAAACCTGAAATTTAAGACAAGAGCTCAGAAAAAAAGTTTTATATTCTTCAGACTTGGTGTTTATATGAAGATTAAAAAAAGGGCTTAACCTCAAGATAAACAAGATGGTCCACAGACACATTTACCACTGGACCAGCCTTACCCCACATATTTGCTGTTTAACTGACCCATTTTCACTTTAAATACTTTTTTAAAAGTGTATAAAAATACTGAATGTAATTGTTCTGATAGTATGTTTGTGTTGGAATATCTTAGTGCCCGTCTACACCTATCCAAGTCTTGAATGCAAGTTTCATATTCTCTTGTATTGGATAGTGTAGACATCCTACTTGAATGAGTTTTAAAGAGAAATTATGTGACATCCAAGAAGATAATTCCTTGCAAGAAAGTTAGAACACGTTCTAATTTTTTTCTACAAGTTTTTGGCTGTCAAGACACTGATAACACCGGTTTGACACAAAACATGTGCCCGAAGGTTTGATAGTGCTGTTATTTTTATTATTTTTCTGACTTTTTGTTCATGCCCTTTGAATTTCAGTAAATGATTACAGTGCCTTGGTCAAAGTAACAAATCAATACGCTGATACACAGAAAGAGCAAAAAAAAAAAAAAAATAATAAATAAAAATAAATACATTGTAAAAAACTAAAAAAGAGCTCTTTTTCAAGTAGAGTCAAAATGGATTTTAAATGATCTTGTTCATTTAGTGAATAACTTTCATCAAATAAAGAATCTGCATCAAAATAAATTTTTGTCACATTTTTTTCAATTTTAAAAAAGAATGATTCATTTACTCCATTCTGTTTTAGCTTATTGCATCATTTTCCCGCTTTTTTTCACATAATTTACAGAAACATGATAGTCTTGCAAAGATAAAGGTATAAATCCTGGGCTATCTTAATGAGACATTTCAGTAAAAATTGTGCCTGAAAAAATGTTGAAAGGGCCATTTATTTTGCTTATCTAAATGTGACATGTAAGAAACTTGAATAGGTGTAGACACGGCCTTACTTTACTGAATTATTTATGTATATAGTTACATATATAATTATATATATATATATATGTATACCTCAAGTGCTTGAAAGAAAGGTGTTTTTACCAAAAAGACATACATTGAGCTGAGGTCTTATGCTCTTGTCCTGCTCAAATGTGAAAGAAACTTGTCAGGCTTTGAATAGGGATCCTCACAAACCTGGCAAATGTCGGTTTTTCCCTACACAGGCTTGCATGACTTCTATACTGGTGGCAAAGTCTTAGTAATTTAATTAACATGCTTCAGTAAAATCATTTTTCTGTAAAATTACATATGTTAATCTTCTTGTTTAGAAATTCTTTAGAAATGTTCTAGTTCTATTTGTACTTGTTGATGAAAGAGAATATTGAAAGAAAAAATACAATTGAAGAAGAATGTAAACAATGAGAAATAGCATATTGTTATTCCAAAATTGTTACCTTTTGATAAATTGAAATACACAGTTTTGGATAAATGTACCCCCTGAAATGCTTACTGTCAAACTTGGACTGGACCTGAGAATTAAAAATTTTTCTAAAGTTAAAAAACAGTTATTGTTAGTTTTTTTCTAAAGAGAGGCAACTGTAAAAGATTATATCTGCCGTTAAACATGGAAAAGGTCTGGAAAAAAAGTTTTACAAGTCGAGACTAGTCCCTAAAAATAAAGCAATATTAAGGATGCCAAGTTTGACCGTAGGCTATGGAATGTTATTTGCCTAATTATCTGCTCAGTGAATTGAAAACAATGGAGAAAAAATGAAATAAAAGAATTGTACAGTTAATGTTTGTGTTGTTCTTTAATGGGGTTTTGAGTACTTTAAAGGGACTCCACTGACAGGTTTTGTGTGCTTTAAAGGGACTTCCCTGAAAGAGGTTTTGAGTGCTTTAAAGGAACTCCACTGACAGGTTTTGAGTGCTTTATAGGGACTTATTTTACACGTTTGGAGTGCTTTAAAGGGACTCCACTGAGATGTAAGTAATATTAATGAATTAAGAAGTACTGACTGAGTAATGTAAATTAAGTGAGAAGTACACACAGTGAGTAATGTTGATGAAGTGAGAAGTTCTTAGTGAGTAATGTTCATTAATTGAGAAGTACTCAGTGAGTAATGTTTATTAATTGAGAAGAACTCGGTGAGTAATGTTCATTAAGTGAGAAGTACTAAATAAGTAATGTTCATGATTTGAGATGTGTCAGTAATTTTCATTATGAGAGTAGTACTCCATATGTTATGTTCATGCTATAAGTGTTTGGCGAGTTGTCTTTATAATGTAAGAAGTGCTTAGTAAGTACTGTTCAAAGCGTGAGCAGTACTGTTCAAAGGTGAGTTGTAATATATGAGTAATGTTCAAAGTGTGATCAGTACTTCATGAGTACTGTTCAAAGAGTGATTTGTAATATATGAGTAATGTTCAAAGCGTGATCAGTTCTTTATGAGTACTGTTCAAAGAGTGAGTTGTAATATATGAGTTATGTTCAAAGTGTGATCAGTACTTTATGAGTACTGTTCAAAGAGTGACTTGTAATATATGAGTACTGTTCAAAGTGTGAGTTGTACTATGTAAGTAATGTTATAAGTGTGAGCACTGGTGAGTGGTAAGTAAGCGCACAGTAAGTCATGAGTAGTACCCTGCGAATA